TTATATATAAATTTTTATTTAAATAAAAAAGAAAGCTCGAATCCCAAGCCAATATGTGTATCAAATCCTTGACCAGCCAGGTCTGTAGGGCATAATCAAATTCAATGTGAAATAGTATATAAACGCGGTGCCTTGACTGGGCAAATTAAATAATTGCTACTCAAAAGAGTCTTCTGTTTGGACTCTCCTACTGGTAGGCAATAGTGGGACTGTATCCCCTCCCACCCCCCATTTTGTTTTATTTAACAGTATGATGAATGCAAAGCTTAGCCCAAGGTTGCTATGACCTCAGCAGGAGTTAAGGTTAAGGAAAAAACTAAAAACCAAGAAAATTATTAACTCTTGCTTTACCCAACCAAAGCAATGCAGTAATTTATTACATAACCAGTGCTTTCCAATTTAGTAGTCTAACCCAGAAAGAAAAAAAAACAAGAACAGGCCAAGATGGTGCAGAGGGAGCAGCACTTTAAAATAATTCTCCACAAAGCTCTTTGTATACAGGGTCTCACCCCAGTGCACGTCGGAAAAAATATGCAGCAAGAACAAAATCTCTTTCATTTCTTAAAAGTTAAAGAAAACATCTAGAAAGGCTTACGGTTTCTCCAACTTATGCTTACAAAGCATCTACTTGGAGAAGTAGCACACTAGATCTATCAAGCAAAATTTGCTTTTCGGTACTTCTACTTCTGACAGGATCTCTGCTGCACCTTACACGGTCATTTCAATGCAACTTTTCCCCCATGAAAGGGGAATCAAGGAAGGATTCACTGCAGCAGTGGCAGACAAGCTGCAGATTGATTTTCAGGTATCAAATTCTAATACACACAGACCTTAAACAATGCCAACTTTAAAAAAGAAATAAAAATCCCCCTCTATTTTTTAAAGATTGATTTGTGTGCATCAATGATGGCAAAGATGTTGGTCTCCTTCAGTAAAAGGCCCTCACAAGAGCACTACAATTAAATAACTGATGCATCACTGAACAAAAGAAAGAAAAAATATCAAGTTATAGAGGAAATTAGGATTTTTTTTAATAATAATAAAATAGGAATGAAGAAAAAACAAAGGCAAGAGTTGCTGAGAAGGCACACATGAAAGACCTGTTTCAGAAGGCAGAGAGGTCAGTGAGTCCCTCTGCATCAACTTAATTGTACAGACTTTGGGTAAACTTGTTTTAAAGGCATAGTGAGAAGGGGGGGAAAAAAACCCCCAGCAAACGCTGGATGAACTAACACGGTCCACCAGCTCATCAGCTGTTAACAACCTTCCAGCAACTGCATAACCTGATGTTCTCCTTCCTATTTCCAGAGGTTTTGCTTTGGTCACGGCTGCACAACCTACACTGCTTAGTTAAGACTCTACCATAAGCCCCAGCTAACCAGCTTCAGAAATACCCACGCTGTAGTAGATTAGTCTGCGTTCTGCTGGCCTCTTTAGTGCCAGCAGAAAATAAAAGGCCAGCAACCCTCAAATAAAATAACGTATGTCGGATGCTTATTTTATTATCCTCTTTAATCACGCATGCTGCGCTGGGACATACAGGAAGGACTGCACCTGATGCATTGCAGAGATTCTGTCACTCGTAGTTCAAATTTAAATAATTTAAGCAAGAAGTCTCACACAAGCTAGGGTTCAGTTCCTCGCCACAATGGAAGGAATTGTTTTAAGAATGAAGTTTGCTGCACATCTTTTGACACTGCAATTCACAGCTACTCTCCAACCCTCAATTTCTTGTTTACCCTTAAACCATACAAGGAAGCGGCCAGGTTGTTTTAGTCATCAAGAAATTAAGGTGATATGGAATTATGCACTGGGTATGTAATAATACCAAAATAAAAGAAAAAACCTACTTCATTAAGATCATACAATTAATCAAACAGAGTATATATATAATATCTTTTTTTTTTAAGCCCTGGGATCCAAGGCGTCCGAAGTTATTAAAATAAAGTTCATTCACAGAACAAAAACAAATTTAATTTGAATCGCTTGCAGATACTGCTAATTTTCATTTTTTTTTTTAATTAAAAAATGCGTTAATGTGAACTATGTGCAGGATTTGTTTCTAGTAGTTGTGTTTGTGCACATTGCCTCTGGACCTGCTGCTCTGCTACTGGGTTTCTCCAATCACCCCTGGAAAAAAACGTGATGGAAGCTACCAACACCCCAGGAAAAGAAACTCTGGGGTACGCTGGCCTCACTTCATGGAGCAGACGTGGGTGTAACTCCCGCTCTCTGGGAGTCATGGTTGTCTCCTCCTCCCTCTGGGTCCTCTGACAGGCTGAGAGATGCCGTCTTGTTTGACAGGAGGCCAATGTTCTCTTGTGTCAAGGCTGATCCATTCGGAACATCACTGCTGAAAGAAAGTTGAGGAGAAAGGAGGAGGGGGCGAAGAGAAGTAATTACTGAGATTTTTCATTTATCTTAAGTAAAAGGACTTCAGTATTTGTCACTGCAGCATCCCAATGAACAGTTGTGAACATATGTAAAGTCTTGCCATGTGTAATAAATAGGTTGTCTAGTATGCTATAGGTACTTACCAGAAAGAGAACTAATGTAAGGCTAACTGAAAACAAACAAGACTACATATTTTTAGGGTTCTAGATTAGTTATATTTTGCAAAGTATTTTAGTATATGCCACAAGATGTACAGTATCAATCTGTACAATTCACACATTCCAGAATATTTAACTTATCTGGATTTTTTTTTTTTTTTAAATAAAAGGAAATAGTTGTTTCAATTTCATTACTTCCAGAATTTCATATGGAAAAATTAGTTTCCATTCTGGAGGCCTCAATCTAGTGGTTTAGCACAGAACTCAAAGACTGGCTACAGGACTTCATAAGCAATTGAGAAGGATGTATTTTCCAAATAAATACAGATTATGAATCAATATCCAGATTCCAAACTGCTCATACGAAGTTATGTAAACTTGACTTAGCAAAACATCTGCAGCATTTGAGCTTTTCTGTTCAAAGTATTAGTCTGAATACACACAGATGCTTGCAGCCATCTGAAAATGGGTGCTGTGGAGATTTCCAGCATTCCCAGCCAACATCTTGTTTCTATTGACTATCAGATGTGAGTTTAAATCAATCCCAGCATCTACACAGATAAAAATTACTGCCTACAAATAAACACGAACTTTGTTTCAAACTTACATACCTTCCTAGACAACATCCACATCACAAACCTTAGCAGGATGGAATAACTTTCCTCTCACATTTGGAACATTTCTTTTCTTTGAAACTAAAACAGTAGGAAAGATTTCTTTTATGGTTGTTGTTTATTTCCTGTTCCTCCCTACTAATCATCCAATCTTGACTAGACAGACTTCTAGTCTTCTGTTGTGCTGATACACAGTCTCAACTCCACTCACCTACTCATCAGCTGAAGTGGCCCTTAATTCCTGCTCACACTATAAAAGCGTAATTTGTATAATCTTTTCCTAGTAGATGCTTCCACATCAGAGCCAGAGTGAGGTAAGGGGTATTACTCATATACCAGAGGGACCCTGATTAAACCATTCTGTTATGCAAGGAAAGGTTGAACACCCATGTTACCTGAACGTCAGTGCGAGGTCCTCAGCTGGAACCTTGCTTTGCGGTTCTAATTGTCCATTTTCTGTCTGTTTAGTGGTGCCCAGTTTGTTTTTTATATCCAGTGAAGACTGACTCTCCTTAAAAAAAAAAACAAGAGACAGATGAAAAATTCTTTAACATTGTGCTAAAAGAATTTGAGAGTTCATCCTTTGGGACCAATGATGGCAGCCTGTAAAGGAGTCATACAGCGTCACCCACAAAAGCCATGAGACAAGAAAACAGACTCAGTAAGATAGGCTCATCCTCTCAGGACACAGTATTTCCCGAAAGGAAGGGATGATTCTTGTAACAACAAACAAAGACCATAGACTGTAACAGCACACAGACTTCTGAACGCTAGCCTGTACCTGCAGATGACATTTTCTATGTGAAAGCAGTTTATACAACTCATGGCACAGTGACCTTGGAGACAATTCATAGTTTTCAAAAATTTAAGCGCCATGCTTATTGTCAAATGGCGACAAGATAACAGCAGAGTATTTTAATGTGGCTAGAATTCAAACTCTTCAGGAAGAATCAAGAAACTTCTCAGGAGGTTTTGAAGAATAAAGAGGTGAAGAGGGAGACAGATGACTCCAGCTGCAGTCATCCAGCAGAGAGTCTTTTTCCCAGGGTGAAAGGGCTGCAGCCAGCTACACTGCTCTCCTCTCCACCTCTCTGCCTCCCACCCCCACAGCACTCACCATGCTCAGCTCACGGGTTCTCTTCCCAATTTCCCTTTCCACCTGGTGTAGCTCCAAGCTCAGCTGTTCACTTGAGATCATCCCAGGCCACTTGGGAGGTGGGGGTGGGGGCTGTGGTTGGCCTGCCAGGGTAGTCGCCTCCCTCTGCAACAGCAGCCTGTTACTAACAGCCTAAATGCATAAAGCCAAGCACATACACAACTGAGCACACAACACACCAGGCACAAAAAGAGCTCTAGGCCATAACTCTGGAGTATTGCGTATTTGCAAAACCAAGGCCTTCTCTCGCCATGTTTAACAAGGTCCCAATCCAAACCACTTCCAGTGCAAGTTTAAAATTTTTTTACATGCAGACAAGTTGTTTCACTTTTAAACAAACTGTGTGAAATACCTTTTACTGTAATAAATTTGCATGGGTTTTCCCCATAATCTGCTCCCTTCCCAAAATTAAGATGAAGCACATGAATAAAAACACTACTCTCTTGTGATCTATTTGTTGAATAAAAGATAACAGCAGATACAAATCTGCTGCTTTATTTTACAGTAGTAGATTTTATCAAATTCTACAGTAGAGCCAGTATTATTACTAAATCATATAAAATATGTCAATATGTAGCTCTCTACTGACCCAGTCAGGAAGCAAAGGAACAGAGAGGGGCAAGTGACCACAGTCGTTCATTCACAAGTTGCAAGTTACTAACAGCCAAGTAAAAGCAGTAACCCTGTCAGCCACTCCAAAAATCTGCTAATACCTGGGAATCAGTTCCCTAAGTGTGTGCTCTGCATTTAAACACACTATCTACTACTCCACACAACCAAACATCTGGCTGGTCTTCAAGTAGAAGCACTCATTCATTTGAGAAGAAAGCAAAATAATCTAGGTTTTCTGAATTAAGTGATTGCAACAACCTTGTAACAGGTAAATCAATGAAGACTCCTGGATTTCAAATATCTACTTGCAGCTTTGAACACAAGAGATAAATTGAAAGCTGTTATTACTCAAAATAACCGACTAGTTCTGACAAATTCCAATTATGGTAAAATCAAGGCTCCAAACTCAAAGGTGCAGGATTTAACACTGACACAATCAAAGTAATAACGAGCAGGAGACACAGGCCACAGAGATTTCGCAACTTTCCAATACTCTTCTATTATGGCAAAGGCAAATATGCAAGATTTAAAACATTTTCTCCTCTTGTTCCCAAACAAGAGCACAAGAACACAAGTTATGTTTCAAGTAATTAAGAAACACATACTACTTGTAACTGCTGCTATGACTTAAAAATTGTGAGCTCTGAAAACTAAATCTGCAATAACCCTCCTCTATAATGTGTGTTCTTAGGTAACCATAGTTTCAGCAGAAGTTGCTATCCACTACTTAGAGCAATTCCTTCTGGGAAAACATTAGTATGAATAGTTGCTGAGGTACCTAAAATAGTTTTCTGGTAAATATTTACTAATTTTTCCTAGGAGGGAAAAAAAAAAGCAACTAAAGCTTTGCTAAAACAATTCTTTCATTATGCCTTGCCATTTCTCCTTCTGTGTCTCTCAAAATACAAAGAAAGATTTCAGCTCATTAATTCTTTTACAAATGCAGGCCCCTATCTTTCCACATATTGCAACCAACTACATTTCTTCTAAGCAAGGAGACATAAAATATTAAGCTTTAATTTAGCAAGCTAAATGTCTTTATTTTCTTGACTCTTGTGGCTTGCGCTATTTAGGAAGAAACAGGTACGACACAAAGCCAAACATGAAACAGATGAAGGTCGTAGCTTTCTGTACATAAAATCAGACATTTTCAATGGCAGTAAATCCAAGAGGAACAGCTACCTATACCACAAGTTTGCCTCTGAGTTAACAGATGAACAGAGAGGGGGAGTCAGTGAGAGAGAGAATGAAAGCAAACACGAATGAGCACAGACTGCAGATTCAAGTATGGTGTTGATTTGCACATGAAGTGCAGAGAGGTTTCTGCTGCTACGCAGAGAGGTTTACACTTGTACCATACCCCTGATGCCTGGCATCACAGAATTACGTATTGTTACTGAACATCGCTACAGAGGAAGATCATCAACACATGAAAACAGCTTTACTAGCTTCATCTCTCTCCATACGACCCCTCACCACTCTTCCAAGTCTCGGTACCAACCTCTAGTCCTCGCATTTGTGTCTGCTGGCTAATCTGATGGTCTACTTGCTGCAGCTCCATGCGCAGCTGCTGTTCTCGCTCCGCCGAGGGCAACTGTTTCCCATGACCAGCCACATCTGTCATGGACAGTCTCTCCCTTTGGGATCAGAAAAGCAAAGATAAGGCGATTTCAAAAAACCCACTTTACTCAGTTGACACAGAAAGAAAGAAAGAAAATTCTAAATTTCTAAAACAAAGAGGCAAAGAAAAAATAAAGCTATCTTACCTGTCATTGAAACGTCCCTGAGAAGGTATATTTTGATGAGGAGAATATGGAGAGCCTCCCCAGCCACTGTGAGTTCCATAAGGATTATAGTCTGCCAGTGAACAGAAAGAAAACCATGTCACATTACTACAAAACTATCTCTTAAGTAGTTCAGTCAACACACAGAACTGGACAGAAATTAGAGAATAACCAGGAATGTCAGCCCTCAGAGTGAGGAAGTCTAACGATTCTTCTGCTGAAATGAACACAGAAATACCACATGTGATCAGTTTCACGTGCATAACGCATGCCTCTTCCTGCACATCCAACAAGATTTGCTCCAGCCTTCCAGAGTCTATGAGCTTTAAGGACTTCAGACACTCAGGCGAACGGGGACACAAAACCAAAACTTATAGCCCCTATGAGAGCAATTATTTTTACTACAAATTCCTACAAGACTCAAGAGTTGATTGATAATTCTGAGATACCTGGTTAACACTAGTTTGAAGATTAAGCTTTCAGGGAAGCCAGAGTTCTACCTGTGTTAAAGCCTAGAAAGTTACCATTCGAATTAAGCAAATGAGCTTTTGTTTTGTTTCCAGCAGTTAACTCCTGAAAAAATCGAGAAGGAAGTTTAGGGGAATATAATTAAGTCTTTTCTTAAGATTATTCAGTGCACCTCAAGAAAGAGACCATCTTTCGGAGTAAGATATACAGCCACACTATACATGTGATTAGAAAATAGATATGTAGAAAATAAACTGTTTCTACTTTATTTGCTTTGCCTAAGAGTACACAAAACAATGGCTGCATTAAGCTTCCAGCAGCAAATACCCATAAAACAGGAGTGCAGTACAATACTTTGTTATGATGGTTTTGCACTATGTATTTGAGAAAGCAGTAAGTTTCTGGATCCTACTACAAGAGATTTAAAAGAAGCCTCATCTCAGGGGGACCAGCAGGACAAAATAACTTTTTCCAAACAGCGACAAGTCACCAACACGTACATTATGTGTGCACAAACCTGTCCATGGAACAGAAGTAGCAGCAGCTTTTTCTTCAGGCTTCTCAAGGTTGCCCTACCTATTTTTAGTGGCCTAACATGCATCTCATCTATATTTCTAAGACAAGAAACAAGTTTAAAGGGGCTGTCTTCAACTTGCACTACACTGTAGCACTAATGAAAATAGCAACAGCCAGCAAAATCCAAGAGCACGCACCATACCTGAAATGATTGATTTGGTGGTAGCTCCCTGAACCGCCATGGCCTGCATGGGACCAGAATTCTGGTACATCGCTTTGGAAGTACGAGAGATAGCCCCAAATCTTGACACAGTTGGTCGATCTCCAAATGGAATGAGGTCATCATCACCAGTCTCTGCTGCTCTTCTCTGCATGTCTAATCGCTGGTCACGCATGGCTTTGCTATCTACATTCTGGACAAGACATGGAAGAGGCAGTCAAAAACTTACTCAGAAATGAACGAAACCACATTCCTATTACAACAAGCTGGTACTAGTAAGTTTCTCTTGTATTCTCAATTCCTTTCATCCTTCAACTAGTCCTCCTATTCTTTGGTTTAGAACTCCACTGTTAGAATGATGTCTCTTTAATGGTCTAACTTCAGATGACCATTACTACCACCTCTGTGAAACAGATGCATGATTAATTGTGAACAAATCTAAGAGAAAGGAGCAGCAGCAAAAGGAAATTAAGACAGAGAAAGTCCAATGGGACAGAAGGGAAAAAACCCTCCAGAATAAAGTCAGAGGAGTTCAGTGGGCATCTCTGAGAAATCCGTACTCCTTCCAAAGTCCAAAAGCAACTTCTCTGAAGCCCAGTGTTAAGAACTGTATCACCTAACAGCCTGCAGATGACTCAAAATGGGAGTTGTTCAGTACAGCACTTACTTGCACATGTCTAGTACATGTTTTCAGGCATATTTTCATTAAGCTGCAGTACTGTGTGGAACATCCTGGTTTCTAACTCAGCTTCAAACTGAAACACCTTAATGGGTCAGCAAATGAACAGATAAGATGTTTTCTCTCTACTCAAAGAACTTTGCCAAGCAGTCACAAAGGAAAAGATGTGCAAAGAAAACAAGCTTGATTTAGCAGGCTAAGTCAATTTGACTTAAAAAAACCAACATCATAAATATTTTTAACAAAGCTTTTCCTGAGATAAAGCTACACTAGTTATGGGAAAAGTCACCTGGAGTGAATAACTTAAAAATACCAGTAAATGGGTTGTTCCATTAATAAAAATATTTTTAAGAAGCTTCCTCAACATAAAAGAAACAAAACAAACTAAAAATACATGCCCCCCTCCCTAAATAATCACCACATCCAGACAAATACAAAATGGTAATAAACAGACTCAATTAAAAAAAAAAATTGTTAAGTGCTTAGTTAAATGGGAAAGCTATCTGTTGGCTGTCAGAAAACATAACACAGTAAGAATTGCCAAACTTGAGTTAAGACTTTGCTAAAAGAAGTAAAACTGCTAACACAGTGCTGTGTACAGCAAAAAGAACAAGGTAAGGGGGACTACTACGCAAAGAGGACTGACTAAAGGCTAAAAACTTCTGTATGGTCCAAAATTAAAATAAAACTCTGCAAGCCTTCAGTGAGGATAAGGATTGCTAGAAACAGACATAGCTAAGGCAGGAATAAAGGGGTGAAAACAGTAGTCACAACTGAGTTAGAAGCTAAACAAGAAATGTATTATGCTGAAATTGGAAGAGGCACAAGACAGCATCTACTTCAGAATTCTGGAAAAAAAGACATTTTAATCTTGAGTCTGTAGTACCAAATTTTAATTTATTTCCACTTACTGAGTGGGGGGAAAGAACATAGTAAAGTTGCAATGCCATCTGCATAAAATCCAGCATTACACACTCTCAGATGATTCTGTTCTCATCCTCAAAAAAAGAAATCTCTTATCAGCAATAAAAAAGAAGAATTAATTCACTTGCCATCTGCAGCGAAGGTCTCCTGAGAATTTTTTGCTGTAAGGAGACAAACTGAAGAGCAGCAGAGATCCTATTTGCGTATCTGAAAATTGGCTCTGGGGCAGGAGAACCCTTTGTTTAGCAATCAAAAAAGGAGGCTGCTTCTCCAGAACCCTATTACTTCTCTTAATTGAGTTCCAGTTTGTTTGCACAGTTTTCCTAGCAGCAGGGATGAAAGACAAGAGCTGTTTGTTGGTTCCTGAACACTGCCACTTTGACAGAAGTAAGCCAATTCTGAGTAACCTCAGTACTTCCCCAGGTGAAACATGACAGCGTTATGACTCAAGACAAACGGAGAGAGCGCAAAAGGACATGTAAAAAACCCAAAGCTGCAGATGAAAGGCCTTTTCTTGCTCTGATTTTTCTGAGAGAAAGCCTCCTTTTTGCTCCCATTTCACAGAGTGCCTTCAAGGTCTTACAGGAAAGCAATTCAGTGGAGAGAAACCAGATGTATTTAATTCCAAGGAGGCAGAGGGGATTCAGGGAAGCCTGCCTGTGGGCAAAGAGGAGAAGCGCAACAGGAAAACCCTGTGATTTAGTTAAGTGGCTGCAATAGGTTAGCACCTGTCCACATATCCATTCTGGATAAAAATTTCCTCCCCCTCTCCTTATGGGTCAAGGAAAGGTCACCATGACAGTGACAATATATAAACAAAGGACGATAGAACACTTTTGCAGATGGGAGGTGAAGGAGAAAAACAGATTCATCTCTAAATAGCCCCGCAGGCTAAACAAGTCCTTTCTCTTGAAGACTAGAATGTTTTCCTACTTGCATGAGCTACCAGCAAACTTCTTGCTGTTGAGTCATGCTTAAACATTAGGAAGAAACAATAGTGGTGGTATTTCAGAATCCTATTTCTCCTCTTCTACATTAATGGCTCCCAACAACGACACCCTAGCAGCCCCCCCCTTTCTTGCAAAACTGACCTAACAAAAATGCAACAGCACAAAATAAGATGACAGACAGACACCCATGGCTTCAGTGAAGGATTGAATAAGCACAGTATAGAGTTAGAAACTGCCCTCAAAAATAACCAATCTAGTATTATGTTATGACTATGCTTCTCTCAAAAGCTTCATTCAAGTTTTGAGTATTCTTGTGGTTACAAATCACAAGAAGACTCCTTCAAGTAAAAACCAGTAACATTGGTAACAGCAGTCACAATCACCCTAAAAGGATTAATAGCACAAAGTTACAGCATCTCCTTCTGACAGAAAGGAGCACAGGAAGCAACAGATGGACATGTTTAATTTAACAAGCTGCCAGTACAGAGTCATTTTTGGATTTCAGTAAGTGTAAAGAATCATAGCAAAATCTCTCTTGCTATCCATGGCTTTAGAGAAGAGTCCTTCCCAACCCACAGAAGCATCAACTTTTCTTCCGAATTCCCCTAATCCCTACGTACCGCCATCTCCACACTCCTTGCTGCCACAACATCTTTGGGTTTTGCATCTTTGGTTCCAATGTAGGAGCCGATGGTGTCACAGGACCAGGGAGAGTACTGGCTGTAGTCATTTCCTTTGTATTTCCCAGCTACCTTCAGGTCTTCATCCAAGTACTGTACAAAAACAAAAATCTGGTTCTGTAAGTGAAGGGAAGAAGCAGCTTCACAGCAACAGCTACTTAGGTTCAGGAGCAGTGAACCTGAAGAAAAACATCACCAGGATTATTTTTTTGTCGGATGCATCATCATTTGGAATTGGGCCATGGCAAGCATGAAATGTGTGAAATTCTGATCACCTGGCTACACTCCCAGTGCTGACTGTTCACTTGGCCAGTATGAAAGTGATATGTTGACCTTGGTTAAAAAAAAACTTCTATCAAGCTGTTACTTAATTCTAAACATGTCAGGGGCAAATGAAGCAAAGTCCAGTAACCATGAAAACTGACTACTTCAATTAATAATGGCTCAAAACTAATTCTCTCGATTGCACCAAAAGCAGATAGCTTAGGATCAGTGGTAGACCAGAGAATCAACAGTCAGTCGAGAGAATGGAGACTGCACTATAAGGACTTCCCACCTGGACCACAAAATCTCCCCCTCGCCAAAACTGTACTGTTCTAATTTTCTTGTTGTCTTCACCTATCAGCACACACAAATTCCAAAATATTTTCTAAACATGCTACTAAGATGCATTTTTGTCAAAATATGCTTACCTCCTCTGAATGAAAAGGATGAGGCAAGGTTGGTGACGGCGCAAAAGGAGGTGGAGAAATCACCTTCCTCTCTTCAAGCTGGGCCATGATCTCTTTCCTTCGTCGGTGCAGTTCGTCAAGGCTGGGATGAGGCTGAAACACAGACACACGTTACAGAGCTTCTGAAGCATTAATGCACAAAACTAGTAATTTCAAAAAAATGTTTACCCAAACAAAATATGGCAACCATATACTGCAAGAAAAGGAAAATACAGTGAATAGACAGTATCATTACAATAATAAGTAATGATCACTTTGTTAAAGCCTATCTGTTAACTTTCATATTTAATATAGGACATAAACGTTCCCACACTGGCCAGAGTGTTCGTTCAAGACACCCTAAAGGCAGAAAGGCAGGGAATGTTATCTGCCTAAAAGTGATTAGATCCTCAACTAACCCATGTGTTTCTAACTTTAAAACTACTCATCTTTTCACTCACAGGTAACTCAACATGACTGTGTTCCAACCTGGCAGTTTCCACTGGAACATGTTCCAGCACGGCAAGCCTCCATTTCAGTCATATGGGGGAAAGTGGTAGAACTCTACAGATCATAACCTAGTCACAATTAGTTTGCATTTATTATTCATTTTGCAATAGAATTAAACATCCCACCAATGTGTCAAAACTCAGAACTGGTAGGTCTATAAGCTAGGTTAAAAATGCTTCCTGGACTCAGCAATTCAATTCAGAGCCTTTACTCTGAATGACAGGTATGTAAATCCAACTGTTCTACAGGACTCAGTTCCAGCTGGTGCTTTACCAAAACAAGTTTGCACACTTCTACTAGGAAGACCCTCCAGTTAGCAATCTTGAAGTAGAGAAAATTTGGAAGAGCAGAATTTTTAGTTCCTTTTTCAAGGGATCCATGTTTGCACAGTTATTTATTTAGGCACAGAGATGGCGAGTTCCAGATGGGCAGTACAAGAATGCACACGCTGTATTTAATCTGCACTAGAAAAAGTAGCCATCTCCAGCCTAATCTTTGTTGGAGAAGTCAGGGCCATCTGAGACTTCCAAATTAATTACAATGCTTTTCTACTTCGAGCACTAAGTAGCAGCCCGCTCTTACACATTAACATCATCACAATTGCAGAGTTGACCAGTAACTAAACTGCCTTCCACTTTTTGATCTGCCTTGTCAAGTGTACCCCTTCCTAAATTTCAAACTTCTAATTCCTCACAAAACCCATCAGTCACCTTACTGCAAAAATATTCTACTTCAAGTAGTTTATATTTTCTCTCTAAAATAATTTTAAAAATGCAATATAAAACCCATACCCTGTGGCATGAAGGTCTGATCTGACTGAGATGTGGAGCCACTGGGCAATAACCCTCTGTCTGCTGGTATCTGTCTCTGGATTCAGGTACGTAGGAAGGTACAGCTGCTTGTGGAATTTCAATAGGTACAGGGCTTCCTCGGACAATCTCCTCTCGCTGATACGGCTGGACAGGGGGATATACGCGACGGCTGTCGTAGTGCGGTGGGTATATGGGTTGTCCCATAGGAGGGTACTGCTGCGGCTGCGTGTACTGTGGGCTCACCACACGGTCCTGAAGGTAGGGTGGGTAATGGTCTAAATAAGGTGGACCAGGTTCAGGAGCTGATGGAGGAGGTCGGACAAAACGAGACATGGACTGAGTGGGATAGTAAACTCCTGAAATAAGGCAAGAGGAAAAAAACACAAAAAAAGTGATTATCACAACTGTCCACAAAAACAAATTGTTCACATACTCCAGTCTACAAGTATCAGAACGGTATAAATTAATTCACATTTGTTGCTTGCCCACACTGTCTAACTGGTATTTCTACTAAAAAATTAACCACAGAAAACCTAGAAAAAGCAAAAGTTGATCCAAAGCTCAAGTGACACAGTTTAATTATCTAAGTAAGATACCAGCAAGGTGTAAAGGTTACAGTAACTGGAGAAGTGATAAGACTGAGCCCACCACAGGTGCCACAGAAGTCCTGTTAGCATACCAAATAGAGATAATTCACTAGAATGTCTAGCTACACAAGACCTAAAAAGTAAACTCAAGATTAGCCTGTACATATGTATCCATGCAACTAAAATTCGATTTGTCCCAACATATCGGAGCCACTGCCTATGTAAAGAAACTTGGATTAATTAGAATTTGAAGTTACCTAAAGATTTGTTCTACCTCTTGAACAGTAGAAGGAAGTTTCAGTACTGTGAATCGAAGACTTCTAAGATCACACCTCCTAGGTACCTGAAGATTTTAGTAATCTATCTGGGATCTCTGGATAAGTCAAAAATATGCATGAATATGTGCGCATCGTCAACATGTGCAGCAAATTTTGTGGACAACTCAGATCTTCATTTGCACACAATAATCAAATGTAAGCTTTTTGGTTTTTCTTCAAAATTCCCCCCCCCCCATTTTTTTTTTCTTTCCCAAAAATGGCGTGTCCACACCCCTCCACACACTTTCTATGGCTTTTTCTTACTCTTTCCACTTGTTCCGGTCTTTCATTCTGTATTTTTCTTTCAGATTAACTTGACATCATTTCTCTCTCCAATCTTACATTGCATAAGAATCATTCCCTGTCTTTATATATAGCTATACCTTTTCTTTTTAATCTCCTTCAATATGATCTTTCTTCACTTGGTCTCTTCATATTTCTAACTCTTCCTCTTAGTTCTTTTTTTATGATGTTTTCTTTTTTGTGCCCAGCCCTTCTCTCATGTCACTCGTCTCTACCCATCACATGTATGTGCAGACATTTCTGAAACTCTTACACTTTTCTCAAGACACAAGAAGCCTGCCAATTTCCATTTTATTATGCCATCACCACATTAGTGCCTGTAGTCCACGTGATATGCAAAAGAATGCCAACTTAAGGGCTTAAGTAAACACCAGAGTGGGAAGAAAGAATAAAATCAGTATGAAGATGAAAGACAGAGAGCGTGGTCTCAAACTTACCTTGTTGGTAGGGTGCTGGCTCAAATGGTGGGGCAGCTCCTCTAGGATCTTGATAAAACATATCTGCTTGCTGAGTATTATACAGCTGAGACCCTCGTGGTACCATTTGCAACTGCTTGGTGACAGACACTGAAGGCAGATCTGTCGGTGCCCGAGCGGGCACCGGATGAGGGTTCACTGGTAAGGCAGAAATAGAGCTCTTGGGGACAGATTCCAGCCTAAAAAGTAAGAAAGATGGCACTGCTCATTAAGGCCTGACATAGCACACTGTACTTTAAAAACACTGTTGTCTATATTCCACCTTCTAAAGGCTTACATCATCTTCTCCAATTAAAATATAAGCAAACAGGGAAGTAAAGCAGTTTAGAGTTTAAGCTTTAATCACTTTAAAAAAAACCCCAGAAACCAACCACCTAACCCCCAAAAGCCCCCTGTTCTATTTCTTTTCTAGATAATGGCATTACTTTGTTTCTACTGCATATTTACACACATGACACTTTAAACAACAGTTAGGAAGACCCGTACAAGTCAGGAGGGGATCCAGGGGCACTGCTACTCAGATGGTCCATCTTCCCTGGCTTCAGAGCAGTTTCATAACTGGAGTCAGTCCCTCGAGAAATTAGTTGCGTCACCGTGCTGCCTGTTGACACAATTCCATTTGGCAGAGCAGCAGTTTTCCTATTGGGCAAGTCCACTCCCCCTTCCTCCGAGAGGATAGCTCCTGAAGGCAGGCCCACCTCATTTAGCTGGCCCAGGGAGGCACTCAAGGGTCTTCTTGGAACCAGACGCTTGTTCATTTTACGGAATCTTCAGAAAAAGAAGCCACATATTAAAAGTTGAAACAAAAACCTAAAAGGAGTTGTATTTTCAAGATGCTACCAAAAGCTCCAAGTTTCAATTCAAGTTTCCTAAGGGAAAAGTTTGTTAGACTACAACTTCACTGCTATTTGAACTGTTAATAGCAGTTTCAATTGGAAAAACACGGATGGATTTTTAGTGAGAAGTATACCAAAAATTCACAGCTAAACTTCACACTGCAAGTTTAAAATCTTATTTCCTGTACATATATGCATTTCAACTGTACAGATGAAAACCAAACACTGCATAACACATTACTAGTAGTGACAGAAGCTTCAGAATAAGAATCACAGACCATTCAAGTCTATTTTATTCAGAGAAGAGACTAATAGCAAAAAATTAAAGTGACAAAAGATGAACAGATTCCCTTTTGCACCATTTGCCCAACAATAAGCCAAGTTAAGCCTTTATTGCCCTGCCCTTTCATCTAGAACACAACATTATGCTCAAGAGAGACTGGCATATGTGGGTAGACACCCAATCAAAGGTGACAGGAAGAGTTTATATAGGACCCTCCATGACAAAATACTTAGAAAGAAAAAAGTTGCACAGTGCTGCCCTCTGGATTTTTCTGAACAATTTTATGAATCTCTGTTGCAGTCTCCATGTGTGCAGAACACAAAAATAATCTAAAAAAATTTAATATTTGCCTATGCACACTGGGTCTTTGCCCTTTGCCAAGAGGAGAATCAGCTGCTGTATATTTTATAATTTGTTATCTAAGGCACTACCACATACTTCCCCGTAACCTTCCTGCAAACTTAAAGCTATAGATATACAGGAATGACATAGCAACAGCAATGCATATTATTCATATAAAACACTTTTAAAAAGGAGGAACACTAATGCAATATCTACTCAAAGGAATTAAGCAAAGAAAAAAGGTTCAAGGAAGAATGAGAACTCAAAAGTTCCCCAACCATCTAAAGAAACTGCTGCAACCTGCAACAGAACAAGCATTCACTTCACCCCACGACAACATTATTACTACAGCATACAAGCCAGTCTGGATAAAACAGGCCTCTTCCACCTGCAAAGCTGACAAACAGTCCTTCTTGATACATACAACTAGTTCTGCGGCACACCACCTTTGTTAATCATCCAAATCAGCACTACCAATCCCCATTTTCTTAACACCATGACAAACAGGGAAAAACTCCAACTGTTTCTGCAGAACACAAGTATCAAAGTCCTATTCTCTGTTCATTTGAATAACTGCCTTTGTCATTCTAACACCACGTGCTCTGCTTTTTTTCTTCCTGTTTTGCCTATGCACTGCTAACTATACAGCCAATGAACTGCCACAGTAATGCTTTTTTGCGTTAAATTGCTCATATTAATGAGTTTTAGATTAAGGAGGTAAAAAAAAAAAAAAGACAGACTGCATACTATTTCCAAATCTTTGGAGTTTTCTGCTGATTAAAAAAACCCAAGCACCTTTTCTTTCAAAGACATGAATTATTTTAGCCCCAAAACCAAGTTATATATGCTGCATAAAATATGCTGCATTTATTTAACTGTTAAATAATCCATTTTACTTGAAAAAAATAATTAACCTTCAGAACAGCAGCAACTTGCTCTTGGACAACTGGGTGCCTCCTCTACATACATAACGAATGTAGCTTATTTACTGCAGACTTCATACAGCCACTATTTTTAACTCTTCAACAATAGCTTTAACCACTTTTAAGTTACTGCATGGGCAATCTGTCAAAAAGTTTCGAAGAATAACTGGTGCAGAAAGAAAACTTGTGATGATCAGTTTTAGCTCTCTGGATAGCCCTAGCAGCACAGAAGAACAAGAGAACCCCTACATCTGGAAAACTGCCAGTGAACCTACTTCTCACACCTGAACATAAAGGCAAGATGAGAAATACACACAAATAAATGACCATAATGGATGCAATCAAACAGTATGTTTAGTCACAAGAAATAAGAACAACAGCCCACCTCCAAATTCTCAAATAATGCTTGTGTAAGCATCAAACTTTCAGAGCTGCATTACTGCTGAACAAAGCACACCATCCTAAGTTTTGGAACTGTTCGTTCTTAAATAAGAGAGATGACTGTTACAAGTTCTTCACGTTATTTCTTGCTAACGTAACAGACAAGTTATGCCTCCTCTCCTCGTTCCTAGATACGATAAATAACTCTCACGGATAAGATGGCAGAAATCAGTCCAATCTCTGTTTCCTAAGAGCTAACACTTACTTTTCTAGCTCCTCCTGAGAATGTGCAAAGGTGCAGCTGGCACCCCGGGGGCATCCTCCTCTCTGCTTCATGTCTCGGCACATGTATGTCTTGTACTTGCTGTGCTGAGGAGGCTGACAAGGTTAAAGAAACAAGGTGAGATACCTGAATATAAGCGCACTCAACGAAGAGCTGAATGCATCCTCTTATTAAAGGCCTGTATTTGACTGTTGGCAATTCCTTCATTTTCATGTTTCAGAAGTACCTAATGTGAAATAAATGACTGGAGCTGTATTTGCGTTTTGTTCTTCAACAAAACGAATAGATTTGAGAGTAGATATTTTGACAACTAAGTCACTACCAGGGTTTTAAAACATTTTTATTCACATTCCTTTACTGGAGCTTGATTGGAACACAGCTGTGCGTTTCAGGAAACAGTTAAGTGGACAAAACTGATACAGTTTGAAAAACAACTACCATGCTTAATCAGAAATTGCCAAATAGTCATCAAGCTTTGTGGCAGATTGAAAAGAAATACAATTTAGTCAGTTACCTTTCCTTTGCTTTCTGTTAGCTCAAAATGGCACTTGCATATCCCTTTGATCTCTATGAGAGTTAAATTTCATCAAGTTCCCTTTTACCCCCCTTTGGACTAAAAATCTCTTAACTATCTACGATAATTATTTCTGTCAATAGTTCAGAACACAATCTTACTCCTACACAGATCAGCAGGGAACGGGTTGTCTTCTAAGTTTCCCAAGAAACAACAACTTACTCCAATCTTGCTGTCTGCATGTTCGCCCATTTGCCAGTTTCTCTAAATAAATTTTGACAGAAGGCCAGAGGTGGTCTCAAAGACGAATTTAAGTTCCTACAGTTTTTATGGCAGAATGAAATCAGAGGCAGAAATACCCTATCAGAGTTCCCACCAAGGAAAAGGTCTTTAAAAGTAAACTCTTGCTTTGAGAAACTCCGTCAAAAGATGTAAATCCGTAAGAAGCCATCTGCAAACTGATTTTTTTTCCTACTGCAGTGAAAATAAGATTTCGGCAGGCTGTACATAAGCTGCACAGCCCTCTGCTGGCCACCGCTGCCAGCCAGCAAAACTCTGCCCAAGGCTCAGCAGATGTCCCCTTTCCCACTGGGGAGGCTTTAGGTTCCCTTCCAAGCAGCACAGCATGTACCAGGCCTAGGCAATGGTCTCACCAGAACAAAAACCTTCACTGTTTTTCCACCCCGATTTCCACTTGTGTATTCCTACTGCTTTTGCTGGTAACAGTGCTCATTAGGCACCCCAGTGAATGCAAAAAGGTAGAACAGCAGAAATAATTCACATTGATTTTGCCCCCCCCCCCTTTTTTTTTTTGGCAGAGATAATCTTTCCACTAGTTCAGCTCCTCGAACCAGCTCTCCAAGAGGATGAGTGCCAAAGCAAGGGAGGGAGTGGGAATGTGTGACAGGCAGCTCACATTTATATCAACTTAGCTACACAACAAAATGAGATCAAAGGAACATGTGATAAGATAACTATGAGATAAGCTAATACATATATATTTGGCAACTTCATTTCATTTCCGAAACAAAAAAAATTTGTTTCAGGAACTTGGATTGCACCTTTATATTAAGTCTTCCCAACTTTACAAACCATTAAGCACAGGTGTAAGAACAATTTCATCAACACAGAGCCATCTGGCTGAAATGTGTCACACTAAAACAAACCCAAGAAAATTCCTGCAGATCATACTGCTAGGCACCCCAGCTTCTCTTCCCCACCCTCTAGTCAGGAGGGTTGTTTCTTCATTTCCCTACGCTTACAGCTGGATCACACTGTTTTCTTTTCATCTAGTGAGCTGTGCAAGTCAATGCAACAGGTAATTGAGGGGGTTTCAGGTTTGGGTTGGTTTTTTTTTTCTTATTTCTTTTTTGATAAAAATGATGCAGCAGTGACATTTTAATCAGCTCCTTGTCAAACCAATCTCTCCAGATGACATTAGTAAACCTCTACCACTGGATATAGCCAATAAAATTTAGAGATAAGCATTTCCTAAATGATTTCTTTTACCTGTTGCTGATCTGTTCCTTTCTTGCTGTGATTCTGGATATAATCAACTAAGCCATGAACCACAGTCCTCACAGCAACTAGTCCATTTTCCAGTTGTTCCCACGTCGGAGGTGGAGCATCTATTGTATTGACAGAAAATATAAGAAGAAAAAAGTCAGAAGAATTTTCCAAAACCAGTTACAAAGAAACCAGCAGTATCACACAGCTTCACTAGACAACCGGAAAGATTTTATTTGAAATGTGCATCATAAGACAAAAAGCGTTCAGCACCTTAATTCAGGGATATGTACCACAAAGAATAAAGCTACCTACAGACTCAAGATTGAGCCACACAAAATATCAAATGAACCAGCAAGACTATTATTAGCATGTCAAATTGCTTCCTTTTACCAAAACTTTCCTATCCCACAAGAACCCCAGAGTAAATGCATTGTACAAACTGCACATAATAGGAAGAAAAAAAAAAAGAAAAAAAATGAGGCTGAAAATCCCTCTTTGCATTTCGACTCCTGTAGGTAAAATCATTCTGTACAAATATCATCATGACTGGCCTAGATCACGCAGGTAGAGTCACTGAACAGCAACACAAATTGATGCCTCTCACATGGGAAATCATCACAAGGCAAATCTATGTATCAGACCACCATTTAACATACAGCAGTGTGAACAAATTGTACAGTCTTAATTCTATAGGGGCACTTGTTCTTTCTAGCCAATTTACTTCTCTAATCATTTAATCTGTTCCAGCAGATGACACTCCCACCACGTGCCTACACTGCTGCAGAACACAGGGCCTCAAAGTGCTTCACTAAGCGCCTTTCAAGATCTTCAGCACAATTACATTCTATCCTGCTCACAAGGACTAAATTCTCCCAGAGGAACTTCAAGCAGGGAACCAACTCAACAGCACGGAAGGGAAACATCAAGATCAGACTCACCTACTGAAGCTGGGGGAGGCTATTAGTGATTCCACTTTCCATATCAGTCTTTGGCTAACAAATTTGCAGTACACACGCAGTTTTGTCCCTGACTTGCTACAATATGAAATAGTTGGGAAGAAAGCACTACATCTCCTTTAACTGTAAAGTACAACTGGTCCTCATTTGAAAGGTAAGTTTATATGTTTAAAACAAACAGAAACTAAGAACTACAACTTTTCATCTCCTCAAGTCACAGTTTAGGCCTTCACACTATTTTGACAGTAATATTGATTTTACAAATACTCACAGGTACAAACTAAAACTTCAGCACTCTGTTCTGTCCCTTCCCTTCTCCCTCAGACAGTCCATACTCACAGTGCTGTTGATCTTTTCAATAATTTCTATCTTTCTCTCCTTTGTCACCAGCTTAGATTTTATTTCCCAGTTACATTCTTTTCAACTAACCTCTCCTTCCCAGACTCTTTTACACCTTTGCGGAATTACATATTAACAACAAAAATACTAAGTTTCTAGGATAACAAATCTGTCTTCTCTAAACTGATTTTTGCCCAGTTTCTGTCTATGCAATTTATCAAAAGTCTCCTTTGAAATCCAGAATTGTTTACATAGAAGATGCTTTATGATTTTAAGCTGCCTCTAAGAGAGTCTTCTGAGTGCAATGCCTGCAGGCTAGAGACCTCAGATCAAAACCAATACTCACGATTCCTAGAACAAGGACAACGACATACAATTTTTAGATAAGTTCATGGAAGTCCTCAATCTGGTAAGTGTTTTCTTGAAGACTTCCCCTCATTTGTAAATAAATTATTTGCTCTGGTGAAGAGCTGGAGAGAAGATCTCAGAGTGACAGCTAAGGTTCTGTATTAAGCACAGTGATTCCTGTTGCTCTGCAAATCTGTTTTCAAATAGCAGCATGTGTACTAAAAAGGGGAAAAGGAGGAAGCTTAGACTGCTGCCACTCCCCCTGGTTACCATTGTCCAATATCAAGTACACACCATGTAACCTCACAGGATTGTACATATTCAACATCCTCATCCATGCTCACCCAGTGCTGTCAAACAAGGAAGCTCTCTTCAGAGAGCTGGTGAAATTATTCCTGCTATACTTTTGAATCTATTTTAGCCTCAGAATAGTTCAGTTCCTCGCCGTGATTACTGCTGATCCTAGGCTGGATATGAATACTACTCAAGAATCTTAAAGTTATGAGTTAGAGGATGTTTCCCTCCACTTGATGAACAGCTTTCAAACCTTCAACAGTGTGAAGCTCCTCTTGCTAAACTGTAAGTTAAAGGGTTTTTTTATAAAGCATCTAGACTTACCTGGACTGGGATCAATATTTGCCAGGAGCTCTAGGTGAGGTCGAAGACGATTCAGGTTGGCTGGATCTCCAGTCCTCTGAAGAGCAATAGTTAGTTCCTGAACACTCTGTGCAAACGAGGCTGGGGTCTGCAACTTAAAAAAGTTATAATAATTAACTTCCTACAGGCAAAGCAATCCTCACGGTTTCTGAAGGCTGCACCAAGCTCACAAGAGCTGTCTTCCAAAACTGGAGTAAAATGGTTTTTGCACAAGCCCATTTCAGTCAGTGCCTTCTATTAAATTCCTTCTGTGGCATAAAGAATGCACAATTATTTGACATCGCAGGTTAAAATACAGCTCTAAATAGACAAAACAAAGGCTGGTATCATTTCTAGCAACTTGTTTCTTTTCTGTGTTGTGCTGGCACCCAGAAAAAAATATAGAATATTAAGAACCGTTTAATTTAGATTTCTGAAGAGTCCAATATCTCCAATCCCCAAACTAACTGGCTTGCATGCTGCTTTACACTGAGTACAGCAGACAATCAAGAGTGAGATGGTTGAAGGACAAAGATAGTCAGCAACGTTCCATTTACTAACATCACCCAATTTCACTCTTAAATCCTTTAATTCTACCTAGATCCTTCAGGAGAGGTCTGGCAGGACACCTGAAAAGGTGGGCAAAGGCATAAATACACAGCAGACCGATCTTGAAGCTAATCCTCCTGCATGGCAGCCACAGCAAAGGCTTCACAGCTTTTGTAACCATTCAACAGGGTTCAGCTCTTCCCACCTGATTTAGGCACTTGAGTCCCCTAATTTAAAAGCCCAGCTATCCTATGTCCCCTCTAAACAAAAAGAGATCTGGGCATTTCCAGAGGCCAAGTCATTTTATTTAAGAAATGTGCTTCCGTCTCTCTCTCTTACTTCAGGTAGAGACTAGGGGACTGATTTTCTTCAACTTCTGCACTAGCTTCCTGCCTGGAAACACAAAGCATTAACCTGTTACTACATTGGCAGTTATCAGCTGTTCAGAAAGGACACAGCCCAGCTGTGCAGCTAACCTTTGTGGTTTCCCCTCTGCAGAAAAAGGTAAAGTAGAAAGAGATGGTAGGATGGCAGAGGGAGTGAGATTCATCAGGTTACAAATATATATTCTAATTATTTAGGCCGTAACTGGTTTTGAAATAACAGGGCAAATGATTAATGGGTTAGTACACACAGGCACAATTTGTAAATTCACGTTACAAGCATTTAATCTACTACAGTTGCAAACAAGATAGACTGGGCTGATTTTAGATGGCTTTACCTTGTCAATAATAGACTGCATGTGGGATTTGTGAGATTGGTCTCCATATAACAGCGAGGACCACTGATCCGGTGCAATGCGTAAACCTGCTTCCATAGCAATTTGAACTATCTGGGAATCGTGTTCCCTTCTGAGAGCTTCGTAAGTCCGAAATTCCTCCTTCAGTTGCATCAGGGAGGAATCCTCATCTCGCTTTGTCACCTAGTGGGGAGAAACAAGCCAAATGCAATTAAGCAGGATAAAGCCAGAGATGACGTAAAGTCCAAGGCAAGTGAAATCTTCAGTCAGTAACTAAGTTCTTCCTCCCAAACTAAACGGAACTATGATACTATGGAGTGATTACTAGTTCCTACTAAACTAACATGCTCTTCGTGAAATGGATACCAAACATAATTTACTCAGACTCTGACCCAGATACTGGTGGAAGCATCACCCTTCCTAAACCACTTGACAGCATCCACACCTTACTTCTCCAATCAAAGTATTTTGTTTGTATTGCAGAATTTTGCGTGAGGGTACAATTAGCAACCACAAAGCATTTTTCTCCTCATTTAGCAAAAGTGAATGACATTTAAGTTGAGTACCTGGGAATGGACCATTAAATACTGTAAAGTCCAATAAGCAGCTTAACTTCTCTTTATACAGCTCTGATATCCAAGAGCCTCATATTTCTGTTTCTAACCACACCATCACTCAATTAACATAACTGGGGATTTTCCAGCTTTAAGCCTCTAAGGAGATAAGTTATGCTGATTTACATACAGGTTTTGTTACTGTGCATCTATTAAACCTAGACAGAGTCAAAACTTAGATTTACGGCTTAAAGTTGCAATTTCAGACTACATTGCCATCATGACAAAGAACTCTCCAAACACACGTGGGACCTAATGAGGAATACTTTCTATAGTTACACATATTTTTAGACACATTTCACATTACAGGACAATGAAAATTGATGGGAAAACCAACAGTTTTCAGAAGTTGTGAACGTGTATTAAAAATTAATTCTAAATTGAGGAGTCTTTTTGTTATATGAAGAAATATTTTCCCATATTATGAAATCTCTGAGCAGAATCATCTTTGTACCTTGAAGCACGAGGCTCTGTAAAGCAGCTGGACAACATGCCCAATGCTAGTTTTAGAAGCCTGAGGAAATCGCGGCTCCAGCCTCTGAACCACAAAGAGAACCAAGACCTTCCGTGACAAAGCAGATCCATCTTCCAGAGCCAGTAGAACCAGCTTTAAAGCCTCCTCTTGCATTGCTGGATGGGGAGGAAATGTGAAGAAGAGAGACAAAAGACGAGATAAGACCAAGAAAGATTTCTGCACAGTTTCTTGCTTCCCTACATGTTGGAGACCAGCTACCAACCCCCCACCCCAAGGCACACAAACCCACAGACAGGAAAGGGAGCTGAGCAAGAAGGGACAGAAGAGAGAGAAGGAACACTTCCAGAATCCTAGACTGTGACTGGGGCAATAGGACTTTTTTTTTTTTATATAT